AGTTATTGTTGTTTTACTGTGTGACAACTAATATCTTTGGGACAGAGCTCCTAGAGCTAAGTTCTCCCCATCAGTCTCATTCTTCAAAGTACTTTCTCCTTTCTAATACCTCTGCCTTTTGTTTTGAGCGCGCGCGCGCGCGCGCGCGCACACACACACACACACACACACGCACATTCATCTGCTTTATCCTGTTTTACAAAAATACAACCAGCGGCCCCACTCTGAGTGACCCTTTCAGATGCAAACACATTTTTTAAAAGGGATTTTTTTGAAACTTCAAAAAAAAAAAAAAAAAAGCAGCTCTGGTCAGAAGCAGGAAGGTGGGGTGTTCTGGGCAGCTCTGGTTAGCAGCTGGCTTTGGCCAGTTCTTATGGGTAAACAGCAATTTTCCAAACTGGAATGGGTGCTGGGGTTTTCTTTGTGGAGCCAAGAGGTGTGGAGAGCAGTGGTGTTTAGTTAAATTACGGGTCTAGATGCAGAATGTGCAGCCGTGATTTGTGAGAGCCTGAACCCTCCCAACCCCCTGATGCGTGTGCACACACACACATACACATCCCACTTCCCGGAGTGCTGCCCGAGACTATAAAAGGAAGGGCATCTGTTTGGAGAGGTGGCTGTCCCCAAGGGCGCTGGGCTCTTGGTGGGTATCTAGTGTCTTAAAGAGTGGAAAGCATTTGCACGAAGTGTTTTCTACAACCCCTCCACCAAAAACTCCATGCAAAGGACATTTAAGCTTATTTTCCTAATGGATTTTGGATTGAGCCTTCTCTGGAACAGATGGATGGCTCTTCCCATTTGGGGTCACGGTGGGGACCACCTGGGACCTGCCTGAGCATTTTGGTGCAGTGGCCAGCTTCCCTTGCTTTGTGTGGTTAAGTGCTATATGGGCGTGAGGGCTGTGGGTCAGGAAACAGTTACCCAAAGGGCCTGGCGCAGGAAGAAAACACAGGTGGCTCTCTCCACTGTGGGTGGAGAGGACTTTTTATAACACAAAGGACTGTGGAGTCGGGGGACCCGCGGTAACGTGTCCTGCTTGCCGTTTCCGAGGTCAGAAGAGGGTTTAAGCTCTGGGGATGCTTGGGCAATTCCTGGGGCAAGTAGCAGCCAAGATGGAAGGTTCAGGACTAGAGACTTTCCCCAGACACACATACATACGCACGCATGCGCACAGACGTGGACACAGAAACTTTGATAGTATCAATAAGAATTTGAGGACCTCCAGTGAGTCCCACTGGGAGCCTGGACATGACAGCTAGCCCTGCCCCTGTCCTGTCCTCGCCAGCAGCCCTGGAGGCGGAAGGAAACAGGGTAGAATGTGTGATTCTGGAGTCCTCTCTGCCTGCCTCCCGTGTCCCTCTTCAGAATGCAAGTCATCAAGCCCTGCACTGTCCATTTAGCAGTGATGGCGTCAGGATTCCCAAAGTAACCCCCCCATTTCCTCCAGTGTGCCCCTGGTGTGTAGAGCCCTGTTGCCCCCTGGCCTTGCTCTCCTCTCCCAAAGCCAGGACACTGTTGGGTAGCTAACTGAGGGTTGCACATCTTCCCACTGGCCTTTTCACGTCTGGAAGGTTTTGATTAAACCAGTTTCCTTTTAGCGTTTGCTGAAGAGTGGGATCACTGTATCTGAGCCCGTTCCTGGAGAGGATGTTTTAGTAAGTTGGACTCTTCGGCATAGTGTCTGGGGCCTGGGATTTCTCATCCTCCTAAAAAAAAAAAAAAAAGTACTTTACAGACTTTTTGGGGATGTGTAGATTTATGGCTGGCTGTCTGCCCCATTGTCTAAGCTCTGGCTTGATAGGTTTATGGCTGTTGAGCAACTGTAGAGAGTGTAAGGGGGGTCTTTCCATTTAACCAGTTACTGGGGAACGAACATTCTGTTGAGTTCTATTATCTGGGACGAAGACACGTTACTCATTTAATTACCTGGGTCCATGTGAACATTTGGAATATAAATAGAGTCTGCTCTATACCCACCTGTCTCTAAACAATGTATAAATGGCACCATCGGGTTCATTTTATAGAATGCTTCTACAGAGTTTCTTTAAGTTGAGAATTCCACTAATGCATGTTTGTGGATCATAGTAGCATGTCTTTATAGATATTTAATTACTTGGCTGGGTTTAAAAAAAAAAAGGAATGAGAAATCGGAAATGAAACTATTGGGGAGTCTTTGCCCATCTGAAATCACGCAGGAAAGTGGTTTTGAAATTACAGTGGAAGAGAACGGGGCACCCAGACTTGATTTATCAAAGATTTTTGTGTAAAATATCTTTCTGTCACACATTTATTCTGAGCTTGAAGGATGAATGTAGTAATTGACTTTGGATTCAGTTACGGTGACCACTTACCTAGCATCTGCCTGGTGTCCTGCTAGACACTTTGGCATATGTTATTTAATTTAGTCCTAATAGGAGCCTTGCGTGGTAGGCTAATTATTGTATCTCCATTTTATAGTGGTTTGAATTCTACATTGTATTGGAATGTAGGCTCCAACACCTAGCACTTAACGTATCTATTGAATGAATGCCATTAGGAAAGTTAGGGTAGTAAAATTTGGCAGTCAGTGAGTGTCGGGAGAGATTGAAATCTGGAGAGAGACTGATGGAGTTTCATGGGAAGGTGACCTTGTCCTCCAGAGGGACTTACGGAAGGCCTGAGAAGGGAGGTGGACAATAAGGAGCAGAATAAGATGCCCACTGGTTAATGAGAGGTTCTTGGAGTTGAAACTGTAGATGCTGGTGGGATCTTCGTAGCATGTTCTCACGTCCATGATCTCATCTCCTCTCCCGTTCATCTGAAAAGAGACGAAAAGTGGTAAATCACAGCTTTAAACACGTATGTAATCACTGCATGCCTCTCAGAGCCCATAGGAAGTGTGCAGAATTGCTAGCACAATGTCCTCGTAAAATCGTGCAGCAAGCCCGCTACAGGGGCCCTCCAGGTGGGGCTCCGTCAGTGGGCTGTGGTGGCACGTGTCCCTCCCAGAAGCTGCTAGGCCACAGCCGGAGCTCCTTAAAGTCTGGGAGCCTCCTTCTGTTCACAGCTATCGTGAGTCCTGATTGATGGGAGTTGGGGGTTAGTTGGGACCGATGCACCCATCTGGGACTGTGCAGTGCAGAGCATGGGGCCATACCTCAGGGGGGCGCTCCTCAGCACAGCCCACCCGTCCCCACCCAGGGGGCTCTCAGCCAGGGTGCTCCTCGGAGAGGTGGCTTGGTCCTCTGTTCCCTCAGCCAGGGTGTCTCAGCCTCGGGGACAGTGGGGATCCTGGCAGCCACAGCCCCTGTATTTAGGCCTCCCACATCGAATGTCATGGACACAAATGATATTGTGTGTGTATATGTGTGTGTGTGTGTTTAACATTCTCGGCTTCATCTTATTCACTTATTTTTGGGATTTCAGTCATGCTTTTATTTACATGTTCTCATAAAACATTTCCCCTCAGTTTTACTGAGGTGTGAATTGACAAAATTATGAGATATTTAAAGTGTACAAACATTATGATTTGCTAGATGTGTACATCGTGACAGTTTCTCTTGTCAGGTTAAGACTTTGGGCTTTTATTATGTGCAGCCAAATAGGTGAGACCCTGTTCTTATTTAACATTTAAATAAAATTTTTCTTAGTAGCACATTAAAAAAAAAAAACCCAAACTGAAACACACACACAGCCTAGACTCAGTGTTCAGAACAAAATTTATTTTCTTGTTTCACTTTTCGCTCCTGCCCAGGATGTTCATTTCTGTCTCTGAACCGTTTATGTCATTTGTTTTGGAACTGTTGGGATTCTGAAACGTGACCACAGCCATTCATTCTTCCCATCGGAGAAGACACTGGGGTGGGATTCTCTGTGCCTGGTGCCTACTTGGCATTGTGGAGGGAGGGTACCGAGAGGAATCAGGAACTGTGTCTGGGGAGCAAGTAAGAAAGACAGGATCACCCATGATTTCTGCACTGGGTGGGAAGAAGTGGGTGCCAGGACAGGCTGGTGGGTACGGTGTTAGGGTTTCAGAAGGGGGGGGACAGCTTCTGGACGTGGTGACGGCATAGATAGCTTGTGTTTTGGAGAAGGTCGTTGGATCTTGAGGGATGGTTACGACTTGCTGTGGGAGATCTAGGCACAGAGAGGCGTTCTCGGGAGAAGGGCTTGTATGGATGAAAGGGCAGATCCTGGGGGCTTAGCGGGGCTTGACTGAGTGTAGAGTGAGTCAGGGCGAATGGTGAGGAATCAAGAGGGGAAGGAGAATGAGGTCCGAGCTCAAAGGGTGGCCCCTGTGTGCAGGGCCGGTGTCTGTCAGCTCGGTGTAGACAGCCCATCCATATGTTTGCATGATGTGTGAGTTTCTTGTTCTTTTTTCTTTCTTTCTTTTTTTTTTTTTTTTTTTTTTGTTTTTTTTTTTTTTTTGACAAAGAGAGAGAGAGAGAGAGAGAGATCACAAGCAGGCAGAGAGGCAGGCAGAGAGAGAGAGAGAGGGGAAGCAGGCTCTCCGCTGAGCAGAGAACCCAATGCGGGGCTCCATCCCAGGACCCTGAGATCATGACCTGAGCCGAAGGCAGAGGCTTAACCCACTGAGCCACCCAGGCGCCCATGTGTGAGTTTCTTATTGACAAATTTTATGGTACTTTCTGGGCAGCAGATTTTTATGCACATGATTCTGTTCTGTTCACATCTCTTAGGTTGAAAATAGCTTTGATGTGCCACTTTTCTCTTTGTGCCAGAAATCAGAATGAAGCTGTGTATGGTGGCTTAGAGGTTCTGAAGTCCGCTCTGTGTCTGTATGAAACCCAGGCTTGCAGGCTGTGGCCCGAAGGCCCGAGATCTCCAGCGTGGCTGTCTCCAGTGCTCTGAGATGTCTAAAAGGCCCGCGCTGTACAGCTCGAATTTATCTGAAGTTGCCTTCCTAGAGGAACGTGGAGAGCGGCTTGTTTCCGCGCCTTCGCGAGCGTTGCTTCAGATAACCTGGTTAACCCGTGTCCTCCTCTTGTTGTTTCTTGCAGATGGTCACAAGAACAAAGAAAATATTTGTAGGCGGATTATCTGCGAACACGGTGGTGGAAGACGTGAAGCAGTACTTCGAACAGTTCGGCAAGGTAAGCGGCGCGTGGGGCTAGTGGCCGCTGCGGCCCCTCCATCTGCCGCAGCTGCGTCCTCAAGAACCTTGTCCTTACACACCCTTGTCCTTGCACTGGGTCGTCGAGATCTAAGTGAAATCTGTCAGGAGCTGCTGTGGAAGAGTCCGGCTTGTGGTCAGCGTGGTGCCGCACGTGCCTGCAGGAGCAGACAGAACGGCCTTTCACTGTGGTGTCGCTGGCATTTGCTGGCCATGTGGGGTCTGGGCTGGGAGCCGGTGGTGCTGGTGGCAGCGGCTGGGGAGGGACGCGGGGCTGTGACTTCACAGGACAGGAGCTCCCGCGAAGCTGCTAGAGGGCTGTGAGTCGGTGCTGGGCGGCATTCTGTGCCTTTCTGGAAGGTGCATTAAGAGAGGAGGCTCCCTGGGGTCCTGTGCTGTTCAGCCTTTCCCTGTCAGATGCCCAAGGAGACTCGGGGAAGATGCTGGGCCTGTACCTGTCAGCGTGTGGGAGACAGGAGTAAAATGGATCCCCTGGGCTCTGTTGCTGAACCAGCCTGGGAGCAACACAGAATACATCCGGTCAGCCAGGAATTGGAGTGGGAATATGTAGGGGACAGACACAGTCAGCAGATGGACAGACAGGATATGCCACTGTGGGCAACGTGCTTAATTCAGCCTCTCTCTAACTGGTGAGGAGCTGGTACCTTGGAAAGCAGCGTTCCTCTGATGGCTGCATGGTCCCCGGGCTCTGACAGGGCAGCTTGGGGCGGGGAGACTGGCCTTTTGGGCCTTGTGTGGTACCCCTCCTCTGGCTGCTGTGTCCTAGGAGGCTGGCAGCTGGTTGGCCGCGGTGGCCCTCTGCTTTCTGTCTTCGAGTCGCTGTAGATGTTGTCCTGGGAGTCCAGGTCCAGGTGTGCGAAGGTCCCCCTTGCACAGGTCCACATCCCTGCTGCTGTCGGGCTGATATGGTGGCGGTGGGGGGAGGGGGTGGAATGATATGACACTGTACCTGTTCTGAGCTCTGTCACTCATGTCACCCCTGGTGACGTCTATTTTGCTGGGCCTGGGTGGTACCAGGCACCGCTGCCCACTGCCTGGCCTGAAGGCTCTGTGCTTTTATTTGTTTGCTCAAGGTGATGGGCAGCTCAGACCTCAACCCTGGGTGTGTCGAGTTGTAAGCCGTGATGAGGGCGGTGATCACTATGTAGCTTTAAAACGGGAGATTTTTCCCATCTGTGGTCATCTCCAATTTCTGTATGGATGGGAGACATGCAACAAAGAGAGACCAGGCTCCTCCAGCCGGGCTTGGCATTCAGCATGGCACTTCACTGCCCTTCCGGGTCGCTTAGGAAAGACGCCCTCCCCATGGCACCGTCTTGCATTGCCAGTTGGGGGTGATTCATTCTGGCCGTTTTTGCAGAACTGCTTAGTGTGTCGGTGACCATGTACTTCTCTTCAAGACTCGCTCAAAGCACGGGTGGGGGGGGTGGGGGGTTTGGTCCCCCGCCCAGCCCCACCCTGCCTGTGGGGAGAGACTGGAAATAATCACAGGAGACAGGCCCAGCTTGTGTCATGGAAGGCTGGCAAGTGTGAGCCCCCTTGCTACAGTTCTGCCTCTAAAACAAGGCCAGGAGCAAACATGAGGTGGGGTTTCTTTTTTGAGCCATAAACTGGAATCTTGTGGTCCTATTTGTGGGTGTCAGGGAAGTTGGGCTGTTAGAATATTTCGGACAGGCGGCACCTGCCGGACCTGTGCTTGCTCCCACTTCCAGGCTTCTGTCTATTTGTCTCTCGTTCTCCCTTTCTCTTTCTGTCTTTTTCCATTAGCACTTACAGCTGGGAGCCGGTGAGCCAGCCGTGGGAAGCTCTGCCAGCTTTGGACGGGCCCAGGGCCGCAGCCATCCCGGCCCTGAGAAGAGTTTGTCCCCTTGTCAGGGAGGTAGTCACAGCCCGTCTTCCCTGGTGTGGCCCGCGCGGGGGCTGAAGCTGCTCGGTTAATTTAGCAGTAACATGTGTAGATTCCAGCAGGACGTGTAAACTTATCAGATGTTTTATTAAAGGACTAAGGAGGCTTTTGAATGTATCAAAACCATAATACACTTCTTAGGGCTTGTTTCGTGCATGTGCTCGGTGCGTTGTCTGGGTCTGTCTTCAGAGGGCTTATTCCTCCTTGTGCTGGTGGATGGTGTGTCACGTCTGTGCCCCCTTGGGCAGGGCCCACCACCTCTCAGGATTCTGGTATAATTCACTTGGAACCAGAGCCATCAAAAGAGAGGAGACGTGGGGCGCCTGTGTGGCTCAGTGGGTTAAATCCTCTGCCTTCAGCTCAGGTCATAGTCTCAGGGTCCTGGGATCAAGCCCCGCATCAGGCTCTTTGCTCAGTGGGGAGCCTGCTTCCCTCTCTGTCTCTGTTTGCCTCTCTGCCTACTTATGATCTCTGTCAAATGAATTAAAAAAAAAAAAAGAGGAGACGTGCTGCGAGGCCCTAAGGCAGTCTCAGCCCAGTGACGCATGGGCAGACCGCCTCCAGGCTTCAGCAGTTTATATTCTGGTTGAAGAAAACGGAACACACACACCCCTGTGTCAGCTAGACTCACGTACTTGTAAACATTCTCATCTGGAAAGTCGTTGGGGGCCCTTTTTGGTTGGTTAACAGCAAGTTAGCAAGGGGGAATTTTTATTAGTGACTACGTACTGCATTAAGTCCTGGGCCAGGCCATTGACTTGTATTATCTCATTTAATTCTTCTCCAGGAGGCTGGTGGGGTCTTGCATTGTTTTTGCAGTGTGTTAAATGGAGTCTAGGTGGGATTGAGTCTTTGACTTGGGGTCAACCCCTCCCCCCACCATGAAAGGTAGAGCTGGATGCAGGCTTCCCTTCCAGGCTTGTCTGATACCAGAATCTGAACTCTGGGCCTGTTGCAGCCTTGGATCAGTCCACACGATGGGCTTAGGGTGGGGAGGGTGCAAAAGAAAGGAAGAGACTGTGTTGGTCCACAGGCCAGGGCAGTGCTGGGAATAGACATAGATTGCCTCATTTTACCTGCATGGCGGATTTGGGTGTCATCCGGCCCTTTGACAGAGGTGAGCATTAAAGGTCAGGGAGGTTAAGTCTCAAGGGAGGTCACCCAGGTAAGGCAGGATAACAGCTAGAATTCAAACCCTACTTCCTCTTCCTCCACTTCCAGAACTTTCCATCCTTCCAAGCCCCATTCGGGGTTTGCCACCCGCGTTTTAGGTTTCCCTCGCTGTCATTCCTCTCTCCTCTCACTCTCCCCATTGTGCCTGAGGTGGCAGCTGCTTCAACTGTTTATTTCAGGTGGCAATCAAGATGGGTAAGACTGCTATCATGGGGCTGAGCTAAGGGAGTTTAAATATGTCATTACTGTAAGTGGAGTGGGTGCAGAATGACACACCGAGAACTTTAAATAACTCAAATTGGAGGTTTGTAAACCCTTTTGTGCTTTTCACCCACCTTCCTCCCAGAAACTTACCCCCACCCCCCTGGTTAGGGATGCCATTACTTGTTTATATTTAAGATGAGATTATGAAGTGTGGCCATTGGCATAAGGGTTCTGCTCACTTGGATGGCCGTCCTTGCCCCTTTGGATAGCTGTTCTGATGCTGTCATTAGAGGAAGGTAAGGTAGAAGTATTCCAGGCTCTCGTGCTGGGCTTGACCATGCAGTGACCCCACTGTGACCCCTCAACAGGCCACATCTGTCCTGGCCTCGCTTTCTCCTCTAAGGGAAGGAATTGGAAAAGGTTGTAAAGGGTCAGATAGTAAACGTTTTTGGCTTTATGGAGCGTATGGTCTCCATCATAACTGTCTGCTTTTGTATGGAGGAAGCAGCTATGGCATAGCCATAATTAGATGTGGCTGTGTTCCAATAAAACTTTATTTATAAATACAGGTGGTGGGCCACATTTGTCCTGTGGGCCATGATTTGCCAGCCCTTGGACTAGGTTGGTTTCAAGCTTGCAAATTCAATAATCTAGAAAATACGTTTAAACGTACAGGAGCACCTGGGTGGCTCAGTTGGTTCGGCGTCTGCCTTTTGCTCAGGTCATGATCCCAGGGTCCTGGGATTGAGCCCCACATCGGGCTCTCTGCTCAGCAGGGAATCTGCTTTTCCCTCTCTCTCTGCCCCTCCCCCTGCTCATACATGGTTTCTCTCTCTGTCTCTCTCAAATAAATAAATGTTCAAGAAAAAATACAAACGTATATAGGTGGATAGATGGATAGATGCGTACTGAAGGTATCCATAGACTGTAACCAAAACAAGGTATTATCAATAGTAGTAGGCATGATATAATAAGTGAAACCGTCCTACAGTGGTAGGGTTAGTTTCTGGACTGCATGATGCTGGAACAGCGAAGGGATTCTCTATTTGGAAAAAGCTGCTATTTATAAACCAGAATCTTCATCCTATGAGTAAGATCCAGGGACCCGTAGAGTATTTCTAACTCCTTATTCCATGTGCTAGATCTGAGTTAATGAAGAGTCAGACTTCGTGAAGTTCAGATTTTACTATGCAGATTCTTTTGCTGTGAGTTGGTGTTTCTGACTTGGAGGGATGTGTGCTTTGTGTTGAGCCCTTTGATGCATTTTAAAGTCCGATTCTCAGGACCGTCAAGCAGGACGGGTGGACTGTCTATCATGTAGATGACCGGACTGATGTGGAGGAAGGTCCTGAGTCGTCCGAGATCACACAAGCCCATGCTGGGGAGGGCCCAGACAGTTGTTCATTTTTGTACCATCAGGCCTCTTTTCACTGTTTATAAAAACCTCATCTCCTACTTCACTGCGTAGCAGCCCTTACACTCCGAGGGAGCCAGTTTTGTTCATTTGTCAAGAATGTCGATGTGCAGGAATTTATTTCGGCACGTCAGGTTCCCTAGCGGATGTTATCTGTGCTCACAATTTTCATACGTCCAGGAATGATGTACACAGACCATTCCAGAAAGTGGCACGTGAGTGATGCCCTGGTTGGCACGTACAGACCCAGACGACCGATCGG